CGCCTGCCTCCCACCCGGCAGTGTCCGTGCTGGTGTAATTATTGGTGGCTCGGTGGCCTCGTTTGCTGGACTCGCCCACCGTGGTATCGCCTGGGATGGGAGCGGGGACAGGATGGGGTAGGGTTAGGTGGCAGCGTGGCGAGCTCATCCTGCACCACGGGGCTGTCCGGCGGCAGGAAGAGATAATAAGGTTAAGGAGGAAAGAAATAAGAAATTTTTAGAGGAGGAAGCCAAAGATGTCAGGGTGGTACAGCAGGTACCCGTACAGGCAACCCTGTCAGGCCGTGTTTTGCTGGAGGCAGGGATTGCTCCCATGCGTTTCTCCCGCAGCCACGAGCGTGCCACCGCGCAGCCCGGCAGTGGTCACCCACAGACGAGGAACGCACTTCTGAAACGCATTTTTCCACTTGATTTGCCCAGAATTGGGAGTCCTGGGCCTGAGGAAGGGATAAACTCGGCTTCTCCCCCCTGCAAGACTTCCACCCCCTGTAACTCTATTCGCCACTCAAACACCTTCCCACTTTCACGGCACACGAGAAGGATCCCATCACAGTGCGGATTACAGGAGCACCACCCGTGCTGCCAGCGAGCCCCGGTACAGCCACCGGCCTCTCTCAGACACGATTCCCTTCCTCCAGCTCAGTCTCTACCCCAGCCGGGTCCTTCTGCCTTCACACCGAGACGGGTAAAGGGCAGCGTGAGACCAGTGAGCCTTGGCCAAGCCATTCTGGCTCCAGGCACTGGCTATAGACACTCACACACACACACACGTATACATATATATGACATATAACAGAGATAAAGGAAAGCAAACCAAGTTTCTCAGTCCTTCCCCGCTTATGGATGGGTCCAGCAAAGTAGGAAACATCTTTTTCCTAAGGGTGGCTCAGCTACAGAAAGGGATCAGATGCCCCCAAGCTGGAGCTGGCAAAGTTTCGGGCATGTTTTTGGCCACGGAGGAAAGCGCGGCTGTGCCAAACGCGGTGAGTCCCAGTTAGCTAGGTAACACCAAGGGTGAAAACAAAACAAAGAGGCCCCTGAGGATATTGTGATGCGAATGATGAAAAGAGGTGGAAAAAATAGCAAGGAGCACAGGTACTGCTCGATACAGCTGGGCAGGGAAGGGGGAATAGCAAATCCTGCAGGCTGGCAAGATAAACTTCATCTTTCTATTCCGATATTATCTGCCTGTACCCACCACTGCCTTTGGCTTGGCAAAGCGTCATTTGGACACGCGAGCCTGTGAACGCTACCCTGTACATGACATTTCTGAAACCATCTGCACCTCTGTTGGGGAAAAAAAAAAAAGCTTTTAGGGGTCAACAAATCCTTCCAGCCAGCAGCACAGGATGGCCAACCCCTGCAACAGCATTCAAACGGTTTAAGGCAGCAGGTTCCTGACCCAGGCTTTCCCAAAAAAGCAGTACAATCTCTTTTGATTCAGGTTTCTGTGGCAGAAAGCAGACCTCTGTCCTGCCAAGGGCACTCGTTTAATAACATGAGGCGGTAGAGCACAGCTCGGTGTCCTCAGATAACTTTCTGTACAGACAGGAAAGCTTACGAGTTAATCGTGCTGACCAGGTGGGTGACCCCAGCGGAGCGCAGCGTGCTTTGCAGTCCTTCGGCATCCCTCCTTTTGGGATCTCAAAGCGCTCTGCGGGTAGGAAAGTTTCACGATCCCCCAGGCGAAGGGCTGCCCCACGCCAGAAGGGTTACGTCCACGTTCGTCTGGTCCACAGCCCAACCGAGGGATCGCTTTCCTGGTGCGATGGTTCAACGCCAACCGCTAGGAACGGCACGGAGTCAGGAGAAGGTACAAAGCTCCCAGGGTGCTTTCTAACAGACGAGAGTTTTAGGCAACAAAACACCGAAGCGAGAGCTCGTGCTCAGCCCTCGAAGAAAACCTCCTATCAGACCCTTCAAGGAAACGTAGCACATCCCAGTTTAAGCAGGTGCTGGCACAGACCTGGAGATCTGGCCTGGGACGCACCTAAAATCCCCACTCCAGACCAACAACCCAACGAAGCCCTTTGGGTTACTTGGGTTGCTAACCTGAAGGAGACTGCTGGAGCTCTCAAATGACGGTCTACTGCCCACGGCCAACCCAAAAGACCAGATACCCCACTACCCTCATAGACCACAGAGCACGCAACGTTAGAAGCCTGATCCCTCCTTGCTGTTCAAACACGCCCTGGCCAGGGTAGGGCTCCTGCCAAAGACGGGTGCTATCAAGAGATGGCGAGATGTGAAAACCCAACTGGGGTCTTCTTTGGAAAGGACGAGTTTGTGTCACCCAAGGTTTGGCCACATCTTGGAGCACAAGGAAGAGCAGGGAAGTCTCCGTGAGAGATGGCAACACGCAGATCCCTTTCTGCGTGGGATTAAACTAAATCGCCTCAGCGTCTGACGTAGCGGCCTTCCTGCCAGGGGTGGTAACAAACCAAAGGAGGAGAGGGCTGGAAAGTCTGCTGTGCATTAAAGCAGAGATGATCGCCCTTGGGAGAGAGAGACGATTAAACTACTGAGATACTGTAATCAGGTCTAGGATTGGCCCTGCGCTGCATCTGCTCAGACCTGCACCCTGATTAGCCCTAATCTAGCTGGCATATGTTAATCTAATGCATGGATTTCAGACCCTTTCAATTGTATTAAAAACAGGAAATCCACTAGACAAAACCCCCCCAAACTTCTCAAGACTTTGAAAAATACATATCTGCAAAGAAAGTGGAGCCGTGCTGAGGTGCTCTGCAAGGAATGGGGCGCGCAGGGAGAGCCCCGGCCAAGGGAGGGAAGAGGGATCCCGTCGGATCCCACACGCAGCTCAGACCGGCTCCGGCCTGGGGAGGGATGACAGCAGAGGTGATGAATCAGGCACCGAGCGGCACAGACCATGGCCGCGGGCTCCTGGCAAGCAGGAAGATGTGGCCAAGCTGTGCGTTTGCTTCCCCTTCGTGAAGCTGCCCAAAAACTCCCTCTGGAAGGAGTGGTGGGTGACACAGGAAGCCCAGGCACCTCCGTCCCCCTGCGAATCACCCGTTCCTGGCCACCAACGTCACCTACCTGCCAGCACCTCCTGTCCCCGGCAGGGATGAGGAGCCAGCTCCAGCCGACCAGGCACAAGGACAACATCTACGCAGGGAGCTGGGGCAGAGCCAGTACCGAGGTCCTGCCTCTCTCACTTACCTGCAGCATGCCAGGGAAAGGTTTTTTTTTGGTGGAGGATCAGCTGGCTTTGCTAGGAAGGAGGGTATGGCATGGCCAGCATTGCCTGCCAGCCGTGGAGGGGAGTGGGTCAGGACACGAGGGTGGCCAAGGGAGAAGGAGAGCCGTGGCAGGCCTTAGGGGTCGAGATGGCCACCGTGAATCAAAGGATTAGAGTCAGTTGACTCTGAGGCGGCTGCGGCTGTACTCTAATGCCGGGTCAGACGACATTAGTGGCTGCATTTTAGCTGGGGGACTGTTACGGGCCGTAGGAGGTGATGAAACTCCTGCTGTTTCAGCAGAGAAGATGTTACAGTTTACAGAAGAAGAAGGGTAAGGGTTAGGCTCTACCTGCGACCGGAGAGCCACAGGATTCGGAGGTGAAGTCATGCGATGGCTGATAGACATCTTACCTGGCACAGAGGGCAGATCATCAGCAGCATAAGAACAACCGTTTTGATCCTAAATTGCAGGTGACTGCATTAAATCACCACAAAGGGCTTTGGGGGAGAAGATCGGGCGGGTGGGATGATTCAGTGCCCTTGGTGACCAGGGTCATCAGTGCTGGTTTCTGCCTTGCTTTAACACCCCTTCACCCTTGAGATCAAAGCGAGGGTAGCACGAGGAAGAGATACTACCAGTCTCCAGCTGTTGGGCACATTCCCAGTCCTTCAGGATCTGGAATACTGTCCTACTCAGGGATACAAGACACGCTGTTTTTTCCCCCGGTATCTTAGGTTGAGTCCATTCCCCAAGGTGCATCCTTATCTCCTGTTCAGTGTCTGGTAGTTTAAAGTGGCTCAGGCCATCTGCTAAGGTGCTCAAAGTACCCAGGTAGCTAACTAGCCAAGCAGATCTACTCTTCAATGCCCCGGTTCCACGAGCTGGTTATTTCCTGACCACAGATGAGGTGAGGTCTACACTACCCTGCCTGTTGATACAGCCCATCGCAGTGTCGTTTGACCACACCTGGAGACAGGTGCTGAGGACTCATTTGTCAACATCCCACATCCAAATGCCAAGAGACTGAATAAAGCTTATTTAGTGGATATCTCATTCCAGGTATGAAGCAATCATACCAGATGTGGATGGAAGATGGGCTGGAATGG